CCCCCCCCCCCCCCAGATGACAAGCTATTTTAGCTGCACCCCAGCGGAGCTGCTGCTCACTGAGCACTGGCCCCAGGCAAGGGCTGGTCCACACCCACAGCCTGGGGAGGGGGAGGGCACAGGCTCTGGGGCAGACTGCACCTACTGGGGTCCGGCCTGTCACCTAAAGCCAGTGACCTTGGACAGGGTTACATGTATTGGAAGGGAAGGCACTTGAACAGGGTCTGACAAAGAGCAAGCACCCCAGGTGGGAGGGGTCCCACAAGGACCTCGTGATGGCCTGTGAGAATTTCCATTTCCCAGTCACAGGGACAGGGAGTGGCCTGCCCGAGCCCAGCAGCTCCTGAGCAGCCAGCAGGACTGTGCCTGAGGGGGGCGGGGGGAGGGGCAATGGCCACTCCAGGCTTTCCCTGCGCCAGGGCAGGACTGTGTGTGTGTGTGTGTGTGTGTGTGTGCACTCCAGGCCGTCCCCGCACCAGGGCACGACTGTGCCCGGAGTGTGTGTGTGTGGGGGTGTCCCCACTCCAGGCCTTCCCCACGCCAGGGCAGAACTGTGCCCACAGTGCCCAGTGGCTCCGAGCCTGACCAGGCTCCAGAGTTCCACATGCTCTCCCTGTGCAGTGGGCCAATGGCATGACTCCATTGTCTGTCCGCACACGCCCCACCCCTGCTAAGCTAGGAGAGATGGGGCCTCGGGTTAGAGGTACGTCCTGCAAGATTAGTAAACAGGGAAAGTGAAGCCCCGAGTGATTAGAAGTTGCGGATTGCCGACTGTGGCGTCCCTCCAGCCGACACCTGCTGCTGCCTGCTGTGAGGAGAGGCCCTCTGGCCGCAGCAAGAGCACAGAGGCAGCAGGTGGACAGCGGGGACAGAGCTGCAGGAGACGGGCTCCGGCCCGCAGCCTCACTAACTATCTGGTGACCCAGCTGCATCGCCACTCCCCGCAGAGGACCTTGGGATGAGAGCGGCTGGGGTCAGGTGGCTGCAGGGCCTGACCGCTCACCCTGAGGTGCACCTGTGCCAGCAACTCCACCCTCGCCAGCCAGTGACATAAAGTCCTTCTCTCAAAAAGAGCAAGCCCATCCCCGCAGGCAGCAGAGGTGCTGGGCCCATTCTAGGAGCCCACCTGCCGCGCAGATGAGCCCTCCCCCTCCTGCCCCCACCTGCCCCACCCCGTCCCCTGGACTTGCCTGCTCCTCAGCAGCACCTGTGGACGCCCCGGCTGTGCATGTCTGGGCCCGTGACAGGAGCCCCGGCTCGCCCAGGCTGTGCACCTGCGTGGGGATGAGGCTCAGGGCCTGTGCGGCGAGGCGGGGTGCTCAGCAGGGCCCGCACTGCAGCCCTAGCCTTGCTCAAAGGGCGGGCCTGTCCTCTGGGAGCTCCCCTGCTGGGACCGGGAATTAGTGATGAGTCAGGTCTATCACACACACTCTCAGGGGGACAACTGATGCTGGTGCCCGGAGTGTCCAGTTTCAGAGGATGCCTCCTTAGGGGTGACCCCGGTCTCTCCGACTGAAAGCA